CAACTCACCTTGAGGGACTATCAAGGGAAGGACATTCCGGTACTTGGCAAAGGCAAGTTCCTTGTTAATTTTAAAGCTTTCAAAGGCCATCTGCCTCTAGTGGTAGTTAACGGCAACCTCCCTAGTCTCTTGGGGCTTGATTGGTTCCCCTACCTTGGCCTTGGGGTAACAGGAGTCCATGCTGTCTCAGCTTCTGACACTGACTCCTTATTCGCTGACTACGCTGACGTATTCAGCAATGAGTTGGGGTGTTATAACGGCACCCCCATCTCATTTGCAGTTGACCCCCAAGCAGTTCCCGTCCGGCTGAAACCGCGTAGAGTACCATTCGCTATTCGGCCCAAACTGGACGTGGAACTCGACAAACTGCTACAGCAAGGGGTCATTGAACCCACAGACTTCGCCAAATGGGAGACACCAATCGTCACACCCCTTAAAAAGGATGGCAGTCTGAGAATTTGTTCGGATTACAAAACAACAATTAACCGCTTTCTACAAGTTAGCGCTTACCCAGTCCCGGTCATTCAACATTTACTGCACACTTTTGAGCCTGGCACCATTTTTGCCAAATTGGACATGTCACAAGCATATCAGCAGTTCCCTGTTGACACCCAAACAGCCGAGTTACAAACCATTGTGACTCACAGGGGTGCCTTCAGGTGCAAGCGTCTCCAATTTGGCGTAAGTGTTGCCCCTGGCATCTTTCAGTCCCTTATGGAACGTATCCTACAGGGCCTCCCTGGTGTAGTACCCTACTTCGATGATATATTGGTCTCGGCCCGGGACAGACCCCAACTCTTCCAGAGAGTCAGAGCAGTGTTAGACAGGTTCAGACAGCATGGACTCAAATTAAAAAGGGAGAAATGTGCCATTGCCACTAGACAGGTGGACTTTCTAGGCTATAGAATTGACGCATCAGGCATCCACCCCCTAGAATCCAAAGTCAAGGCAATCCATGAGGCACCCACTCCAACCACTAAAGCCGAACTGCAAGCCTTTTTGGGATTATTAAACTTCTATGCATCATTCCTGCCTCACAAAGCGTCAGTAGCCGAGCCTTTACACAGACTCTTAGATAAAAAATCACCTTGGCACTGGGGACACAAGGAAGACACTGCTTTCCGCGCAGTCAAATCACTGCTCACATCAGACGCAGTCCTTATACAATTTGACCCACGTCTTCCATTAGTACTAGCAGCTGATGCATCCCCTTTTGGGATTGGAGTTGTGTTAAGCCACAGACTACCCAACGGCTCCGAGGCACCAATCGCCTTCTTTTCCAGAACTCTCTCAACAACAGAGTGTAATTATAGCCAAATTGATAAGGAGGCGTTAGCAGCAGTTGCAGTAGTAAAGAAATTTCATGAATTCCTTTTTGGCCATCACTTCGAACTTATCACAGACCATAAACCTCTCCTGGGTCTTCTATCCGGAGACAAGCAGACCCCCCAAGTGTTGTCTCCCAGAATGACCAGATGGACCTTGTTCCTGGCAGCGTACTCCTACAAACTCATCCACCGCCCAGGGAAAACCTTAAGCCACGCAGATGCCCTCAGCCGCTGCCCCCTGCCAGCTCCAGCTGAGGATCCGGCCCCTGTCCATGCCATTTTTGATGTCACCGAGCTGGACCTTCCTGTTACCGCCCTCGACATCGCCACCAAATCTAAGACTGACAGAACAATCGCCCAGGTACTGGACTGGGTGAGGAGGGGGTGGCCAGGCACTAACCTTGCAACTGAATTTACACCTTTTAAGACCCGTCAACAGGAACTATCTAGCTTGCAGGGTTGTCTGCTGTGGGGCACCAGAGTCGTCATCCCGGCCTCACTACGCACACCAGTCTTAGAGGCACTGCACGAGGGGCACCCGGGCATCGTCCGGATGAAGGCATTAGCTCGAAGCTACGTATGGTGGCCTGGCTTGGACGACGACATCGTTAAGTGGGTAAGCTCTTGCCAACCCTGTCAGGAATCCAGACCATCCCCTCCAGTCACCACCCCCACCAACTGGGAGAGCACTAACGCGCCTTGGTCAAGACTTCACATTGACCTAGCCGGTCCTATGCACGGCAAGACCTTCTTGGTGGTTGTGGATTCATACTCTAAATGGATTGATGTGGCCCAACTATCCACGACCACCACGCAAGCGGTTACCAAGGCCTTGACCCGACTGTTCGTGACACACGGCCTCCCTGATGCTATAGTTTCGGACAATGGCCCCCAGTTTGCCTCAACTGAATTTAGCCGTTTTGCCACCAATCTTGGTATTCGACACATCTTCACGGCTCCCTTTCATCTGGCCAGCAACGGATTGGCGGAGAGAGCCGTTAGGTCCACAAAAGAAGCGTTAGCCAGGTTCAGCAAAGTAGACTGGCATCACAGACTATCCCGGTTCTTGCTAAGCCAACACTCAACCCCTTGCACGGTCACCAATAAATCCCCGGCTGAACTCCTGATGGGTAGACGCCTAAGAACTGTATTGGATAGGCTACACCCTCACTATTGCCCTGACACCCCTCTTGGTTCAATGACGGGGGTCAGAGATTTTGTCTTGCAGGAACATGTCTTTGCAAGGAACTACGCCGGAGACCCACTGTGGATTCCAGGGGAAATTGTAGCCATCACCGGTCCCAGGTCGTACCGAGTCAGGCTGGAAGACGGCCGCATCTGGAGAAGGCACCTGGACCAGCTAAGGAAGCGCCAGGGTACCCTTGCCAGTGCCGAATCGTGGGCACAGGTCGGCCCCCAGGTACCACACCAAACTCTCAGCGGAGACCACTCCAGAGACTCTCCGCCACCATCACCAGAGCCGAGAGAGCAGACACTAGATCGAGACTGCCCGAGGGGTCCGCCATCAGAACCAGCTGATGGAACCACGGCATCGCCGGCCAGAAGCGCTTCACCGGTTCCAGCTCAGGCCTCCAGGCAAGACTGCACTCCATCACCAACCCTGCCTGCTCCTTCGAACTCTGAGTCACCTAGTAACTCGCCGGAGTTACGGCACTTGGGGCGCCAACACAGACCACCGGCTTATTTAAATGACTATGCGTGTTCGCATCTGGGGGGAAGGGGTGTTATGTCCCTGGAACTTGCCAAAGTTCCCACCCAGGTCCGTGCATGCTGCGGGGGCGTTTGCTGCTCCCCATTGGCTGGCTCCCCTCGACAGCCGGCTATAAAAGCCAGCTGCAGGGTCCGGTCAGCCGCTGTTCGTTGGAAGCCTGCTCCCAGCAGCGCTGACACGTTCAGTCCTTTATTCCCTTGAATAAAGTCTTGTTGCATTCATGCCCTGGTCTAGCCTCTCATTGCTCAATCTACAACAATAACCTAAAATATTTCTGCTTAAATTGACCCTAGAAGATGATAGAGGACAGGAAGGTCTGGAGGAACTTTGTCCATGGGGTCGCGATGGGTTGGAATGGACACAACTTTGCAACTAACCAAAACAACAAAATATTTCATTTTCCTAGGAGAGGGGTGGTTTTTAACTTCCAACCAAACAAAAAATGTTCATCTTCTAAAAGTTGCGGGGAGCAATGATTTAGGTATGTCACTTGGGGAGTAGGACTGGAAAAAATATTGTTTTCTACTTTTTTCTGATACTGTTTAGAACTAAAATAAATGTAAGCCTGGTAGAAAGAAGTGTTTACTGATTTGCTTGTTTAACAAAATCCTTAACTTATGATCATTACTCTTTTTTCATTTTACTGTAACCATTAGGCAGTATGATCTGAAATTGCCTGCAAACTATTACCTGCAAAAACAGGGCTGAGACTGTCTTTAGCCTGCAAACTACAGTTTGACTCTCTGCTTTTATTCAGAGATAGTTTCACCATGCCAACATGTAATTATTTCCAAATGCAACTAGATAAATTATTTTTATTATGATTAAATTTTAATAAATGTGTACTTTTAGTCAGTTCCCTTGTTTTGCCATCAATATAAGCAGCCTGAGTTTCCCTTGTGAAGGAAATTCAAGGTAATTTAAAAAAAACATGCATAAATAAGATTGTTTTGAAATGCTTGTCAGCTGATTTGAGATGCTGCTAGTAAGGCCTCTGAAAAAGGTTAGTGTTTTTCTAAAGAAAGATTTGATGTATTTTTCTGGAAAAAATTAAAGCAGATCAAACAAGAAACAAAAATGTATTCCTAAGGATAAATTTGTTGTAAAAATAAACATAACAAACTAAGTGCAGGATGAGCAGAGCCATTTAACCGAAGAGCATGATTTATGAAAAAAAAATTAAAAAGAACCTTCAAACATCACTATCTAATACTAAATTATGACATTTCTATATTGGTTTATTACTGCTGCAAGACTAACCTGGAACTGTTTGAAAACTCTTTCATACGATTTAAAGTAATGATTCTGGATTAATAGCACTGACTAAATTGACTTCTTTCCTTCCTTCCTTCCTTCCTCCCCCCCCCCAAAGAAGGCTAAGAATAAAGGAGCAAAGTTTGCATTAACGGCAGCATCTTTTCTTGGGTGTCCTTAAGAATAGTAAATTATACCAGCACAGCTGGCGGTTTAAAATATAACATAAACACTGAGAATTCTTCATTTTACAAAGTATTTCTAAATTTCTTCTTAGGTACTCACCAAAGTAGACACTCCAAAATTCATCCTGGAAAAAAGAAATGTAGTTGTTTTCTTGTGCAATTGCAGACATATAAAGATGACTGATTGTAAGGGACCTAAGACAGCTGCTCTATACTGCAGTGTAAAGTTTACCAATCACTAACATTTGGTTAACATTTTTCAACTCTCTGAGTCTTATTCCCATATAGACATAGATGTGATTATACTATTTCCTCCCCCGCCCCTTTTTTTTTTTTGCAGAAATAGGCTGCAGCAAATCACAAACATATTATTGCCCTTGTACATTTTCTCTGCCCTGCAGAACATTAACTGCACTGTCTCTTGGTTTTGGACTCTTCCCCATAACCAACTTGAAGTACCGTCCATCATTCCCTGAACTGACTGAAAACAATATCAACATAAAATATGCTACTTTCGTAGGAACAGCACTGGCAAATGGTGCTGCCTATTATGGACAGGGATTGATGGGTTCCTTCAGGTTTGTTTGCTTCCCTCCTACTAAATATTTGGTCCAGTTTGGTCTAGTGGTGTCTAGTGGTTAAAGACCCAGGCTAGAAACTGGAAAACTCTGAATTCTCGTCCTGCCTTAGGCAAGAAAGCTGGCTGGGATAGTTTGGGTCAGTCATGTTCTCTCACCCAACTGTAGGAGATGGAAGGAGTGGTATATGTTCACCACCATGAATTATTTATAAAACATGGGGAAATATTTAACTTTTAAATATAAAAATTAAAATCTTGGACTGGAGAAGGCATGCCTGCATTAACCTAAAATGATCAACAGGTGTCAGGCTGAGTTATGTGGAATGCAACCATAACACCCTGGTTAAGGGTTCTGCACTTGTATAGAAATGGTTTAGATAATAGGTTCCAGAATGAATTATCTGCAGGTATTACAGCTGTGGACATACTTTGATTGAAATGCCACCAAGGGGGCTTGGCTGATAAAGAAATTAACTTGTCTGTATGGGAAATGTTGATTTTGAAAATACATACAGTTTCTTCTGTGTTTTCAAAAGCCTCTCTTGCTTCCTCATATGTACACTTTTCCTCGAGGCATTCTCTTTCTAAATCCCCTTGGAGAATTTCCTCAAAAAACATAAAAGCAGCACGCCTGGATCTTGTCAGGACTTGATTTGCATCTTCTGTTTCCAGGAACACTTAAGAGAAGGACAAGGGAAAAATCAGATTTCCCCCCAAAGAACCTTATCTCAGCCCAGCCTCTCAAGCGTGGAAAGGATTCAAAACAGTCTCACGCCTTTGTGCCCCACAGCTGGAATAGACCAAAAATATCCTTCCTTGGAAGATGACAGGTAAGATGATAAGGGGAAAGATGGCGCATGGAGGATTATTTACCTTGTGGTTTGTATCTGCAAAAATTAATATGGGAGTTTTGCGCAAAATTCTCCTTCAATAATGGGAAAATGAATATGTTTGGTGATGGATTAAAATGGTAAATTGGATGGGATGGCAACAACTTTGGGCTCCACCTACGTGCTGAATAACACAGAAAACTGAGTGGGGATGGAAAGGCTCTTGTTTTTGTTCAGAAATATGTCTCTTAAGTATGAGAAGCTAAGTCCTGCTACTTTTGTTTCAATGCTTCATATGAAACAAATCTGCAGGCTTCATTTTCCAAGCACACCTACCTCCCTGGAACTGGAAGAATATCTATAGCAATAGAGAAAATAAGACAGAGAAGAGAAAAATATTCTGTTTCCTTCCTATGGCCCACTTCTTTCTGGTAAAATCCCAAATGCAACTAATTTAGTTTCACCACTGAGGCTTCTGTCTCAGTTTACCCTTAAGGGAGCAGTATACCTGATGGTACTCAATAGGACAATTTCTCAGTATCCTGCATAGGTTTGCATTCCCACTTTTTTTATTATTACAGGGTAAATGGCATGACTCATTTCTGGATGCTAAACTAAGATAAAGCTTCCTTCTTCTAATTTATTTTTCCCTCCTGTGCAATGACAAACATTATTGGGAAATTCTTAAAAGTATAGAATAATGAGGGATTAGTATACCCTTTCCTTCTGCTTTTGCTTCTTTTTTGAAAAGTAAGAGTTAATATTATGTGAGCAAAAATTCCTACCTGTCAGGTCTGCGGAGTGAGCCATAAATACAAATAAGAAAAAGCATATTATCCATTTGCGAATTCCCATTTTGGTTCCCTAGGCGTAGTTTGCTGAATTTTGTCTGCCTAACCGTGGCCCTCTGATAAAGACATAGAGTGAACAAAGTTTAAAGTGCAACTTTGCAAGCCCGCTTCAAAAAAGAGGAGGCAGAGCAATGATAAGACAGAATGTCAACAATTAGAGATTTCACTCAAAAGAAAAAGAAACCTTGAGAAAATACTTGTGGCATTTATACTATCTTTTATCTTGTTGGAAGAAATATCTTTCTGGGTTCAGTTCCAAGTGGGGAAAAAGACACTTGAAACATGGAGGCTGTTTGGAAAAATGGTTTATTCGTGGACAGGATCACATGGCTTGGAGCTCTTGGGTGAAGAAAAGGGGAGCGAGATGCTGAGACTCCCTGGGTTTTATACCCTCTCTGGCTTTGAACTTTCTGGGGCACAGGAAGAGTATCCTGATTGGTTGTTGCAGAGGTCAAAGCTAGCTGTGTAGGTTGTCTGTGTGCTAAATTTGGTTGTAACTTGGAGGGTGTGCAATGAAAGGCAATTAAAAGGCTCTGCCTGAAGATCTTTGTTATGTAGAATAGATCTACATAACAAGATCTTTGTTATGTAGAATAGACTGGCCCAAGCCTTAATGGTTCATTAACGTGGGAGGCTGAATTTCTGCCTCTCTGAGTTTCTACTCTCTTTTACAGGAAATATTCTGCCTTTTTAGTATGTCCTAAAATATTTCATTTTTCTAGGAGAGGTGTGGGTTTTAACTTCCAACAATCTGATGAACCAATATGCATTTTCAAACTGTACATGTGCATAAATGTACTTCTGACTTTGTCCTTCGATATAAATACTGTATCGTAAGCCTGAACAGATGGGTAGAAAATGGAATCCATAGCAACTGTTCAGAGTCTTATCCATATAGAGGGAGAAGCTACTAGGGATATTCTACCATGGGTTAAGCACAGAGATAAACGTCATCGATGGCAACATCCTAAGTTTCACAGGCAGAATATTTTCCACATTGCTGTTAGCTAGGCAGATAACACTGTGCTTATGGCCACAGTGGGAATGGTGTTTTATTGTCATACTTAAAAAAAATTCTTATCCTAATGTGCTTCACAAGGATGAATTTGTATTTGTAACAAAGGGTAAAAGTTGTTCTTTTTTAATAAAAAAATCAATATTTACATAAATATTTACAATATTTACATGCAAGCCACACCCAGCCAGTCACGTAACCGCCAAGCCATGCCCACCCAGTCACATGACCACAAGCCACACCTACAAATTAAGCCACGCCCACAGAATAGGTTGTTAAGAAATTTGAATCCCACCCCTGTTTAGAGGGTTTAAGAGATCTTGTAGTCTGAGAATCTTCTCCTGACCCATTGTAGGAATCCCTGACCATCCTAGACAAATGGTTGAACTTTTGACAAAGAGCACCCATCACTTCAGACGGCAAGCTGTTTCACTGCTTAGTAGCTCTCAGGAAATTCTTATTTTGAGTCCGAATGTCTCTCTCTGAAGCTTCCACCCATTTGTTCTCTCTCTTGTCTGTCTTTGTCTTTCATGCATTCATTTAGCAACCATTTTGTTTAATGACTTGTTCACTGAAATCTAACACAGTCACTGAACGAGGACTGGTACAATGTATTTCGTCTTACCCACGTTGTGATTATGCTGTTCCTTTTCTCTGTTCTTCTTCTTGTCTCTTTTTCCTGGACTTCTACATAAACCAAATGTATGAATCTCTTAAAGCCTTGACTTTCCTCCATATTTATCCAGTATCGATGTCTGCTTTTCTACAGTCTGTTCCTTCTGCAGAAATCCAGAATTATATGTTCTATTCCCAACTGCATCACTTATTCCTCTTTCTCCGTTCACAAGGATTCTATATGTCCAAGAATCCATCTTGTTAAGTTTGAGCAATGAGAGGCTGAACCAGAGCATGAGTGCAACAATACTTTATTATAACAATAAAGGGCTGACCGTGCTTGCCACGCCTGGAACTGGCTCGCAGCAATCAGAAACTGGTTGGACCCCGCAGCCTGCTTTTATAGCTGGCTGCTGGGGAGAACCAACCAATGAGGAAAGGGGGAAGAACGCCCACGCAAAGTGAGTGGACCTGAGTGAGAACTCCTAGAGTTCTCAGGACATAACACCCCTTCCCCCCAGATGCGAACATGCATAGTCTTTGAGGTAGGCAGGGGGTTTATGTTGGCGCCCGGAACGGCGTAGTTCTGGAACATCGTCTGTCCGTCCGGGGTCTGCCTGGGAAGGCAGAGTCGGCAAAGTGTCCCCAGTGTGCCCCTCGGTTTGGGCCTGCCCGGGGCTCGTAGGGTTGATCACTGGGGGTGTGCTCCTGTAGACTGGATCGGGCTGGTCAACTGTCTGGGTGCCGCTGTCTGTGTTCGGGCTTCTGGAACAGGCTGTAGGTGTAAACTGATCGCCGGGCGTGATGTGGATGTGAGGCTGAGGATGAAGCCTCCCCTCGTCTTGTTCCTCTGGGTCCCTGCTGGCGATGGTGCTGAGGCGTCTACGCAGTTGGTCTATATGCCTTCTCCAGACGCGGCCATCCTCCAGTCTGACCCGATACGACCGCGGTCCGGTGATGGCTACGATCTCGCCCGGGATCCACAGGGGGTCTCCAGCGAAGTTCCTCGCGAAAACTGGCTCCTGTAAGATAAAATGTCTAACCCCCGATGTGGAAGCGAGGGGAGAGTCAGGGCAGTACTGTGGGTGTAGTCTGTCCAATACAGTCCTCAGACGCCTGCCCATCAGGAGCTCAGCTGGGGACTTATTGGTGACTGAACAAGGAGTTGAGTGCTGGCTCATCAGGAACCGCGAGAGTTTGTGGTGCCAGTCATCCTTGTTGAACCTTGCCAGGGCTTCTTTAGTGGTCCTGACGGCCCTTTCAGCCAATCCGTTGCTGGCAGGATGAAATGGGGCTGTGAAAATGTGGCGGATACCCAGGTTGGCCGCGAAACGGCTGAACTCAATCGATGCGAACTGTGGGCCATTATCGGAGACAATGGAGTCGGGTAGCCCGTGCGTTACGAACAGGCGTGTTAACACGTTGGTGATTGCTAGTGTGGTGGTCGTGGATAGCTGTGCTACGTCAATCCATTTGGAATAGGCGTCCACGACCACTAGGAACATCTTCCCATGCAGAGGGCCGGCTAGGTCGATGTGAATTCTGGACCAAGGAGCGCTGGCGCTTTCCCATCTAGTAGGGGTGGCAATGGGGGGAGCAGGACGGGATTCCTGGCAATTGCTGCAGGAACTTACCCAATTGACAATGTCCTCGTCTAGACCCGGCCACCACATGTAGCTGCGTGCTAACGCCTTCATTCTCACGATGCCAGGATGTCCCTCGTGCAATGCTTCCAGAACTCGGGTACGCAGTGAGGCCGGGATGACCACTCGAGTGCCCCATAGTAGACAGCCCTGCAGACTTGACAATTCCTGCATGCGAGTCTTAAAAGGTGTGAATTTGTTATCAACATTGCCACCCGGCCACCCCGTCCTCACCCAGTCGAGCACCTGGGCGAGTGTTTGATCTGCCTTGGTTTTAGCAGCAATGTCCAGGGCAGTGATGGGTAGGTCCAACTGGGTGATCTCGAAAATAGCGTGGACAGGAGCAGGGTCTTCAGCCGGGGCAGGCAAGGGGCAGCGACTGAGTGCGTCAGCGTGGGACAGTGTTTTACCCGGGCGGTGTATAAGTCTGTAGGAGTAAGCTGCTAGGAAGAGAGTCCACCTTGTCATCCTAGGGGAGAGGACTTGAGGGGTCTGCTTGTCCCCGGCTAGTAGGCCCAGGAGGGGTTTGTGGTCCGTGACCAGCTCGAAAAAATGGCCAAAAAGGAATTCGTGAAATTTTTTCACGGCTGCAACAGCTGCTAGGGCTTCCTTATCGATCTGGCTGTAATTGCGCTCCGTAGCAGAGAGCGTCCTTGAGAAAAAGGCGATGGGAGCCTCGGCGCCATTGGGAAGCCTGTGACTTAGTACCACCCCAATTCCAAAAGGGGAGGCGTCTGCTGCCAGTACTAAAGGGAGGTTAGGGTCGAATTGAATAAGTACCGCCTCTGACGTGAGTAGTGATTTGACGGCGTGAAAGGCATGGTCTTCTTTGTGCCCCCAGTGCCAGGGTGACTTTTTATCCAGTAATCTGTGTAGGGGTTCAGCTACTGATGCTTTATGGGGCAAAAAGGATGCGTAAAAGTTCAATAGCCCCAAGAACGCCTGCAGTTCAGTTTTGGAGGTTGGAGTGGGTGCCTCGTGGATTGCCTTAACCTTGGACTCCAGGGGGTGAATGCCAGAGGCGTCAATTTTATAACCCAGAAAGTCCACCTGTCTAGTGGCAATGGCACATTTTTCTTTTTTCAACTTGAGGCCATGCTGTCTGAACCTCTCTAACACAGCTCGAACTCTTTGGAAGAGTTGGGGTCTGTCCCTGGCCGAGACTAAGATGTCGTCGAAGTAGGGTACTACACCAGGGAGGACCTGCAAAATCCGCTCCATGAGGGATTGAAAAATACCAGGGGCAACACTTACGCCAAATTGGAGACGCTTGCATCGGAAGGCACCCCTGTGAGTGACAATTGTCTGGAGTTCCGCTGTTTGGTTATCTACAGGGAACTGCTGATATGCTTGAGACATGTCCAATTTAGCAAAAATGCTACCTGGTTCGAATGTGTGTAATAAGTGCTGGATGACGGGCACAGGATAAGCGCTAACTTGTAGAAATTTATTGATTGTCGTCTTGTAGTCCGAGCAAATTCTCAGGCTACCGTCTTTTTTGAGGGGTGTGACAATGGGCGTCTCCCACTTGGCGAAATCTGTTGGCTCAATGACCCCTTGTTTTAATAGTTTATCCAATTCCGCATCTAGTTTTGGCCGAATAGCAAATGGGACCCTACGCGGTTTTAGCCTGATTGGGACTGCTTGGGGGTCAACTGAGAATGAGATGGGGGTACCGTTATAACACCCCAGCTCTTCGCTGAATACATCTGAGTAATCAGCGAATAAGGAGTCAGTGTCTGAGGTTGAGACAGCATGGACTCCTGTTAGCCCTAGGCCGAGATGGGGAAACCAATCGAGCCCCAATAAGGTGGGTAGATTGCCGTTAACTACCACTAGAGGTAGGTGACCTTTAAAAGCTTTAAAACTGACAAGAAACTTGCCTCTGCCGATTACAGGAATGGTCTTCCCCTGGTAGTCCTTCAGGCCAAACTGGCATCTCTGGAGCCGGCTAGTGGATAGGCTTGGTTGGAGCCTCTTAAGGGTGTTCCACGAGATAATTGAGAGCGCTGACCCTGTGTCAACCTCCATGCGGCACGGTTTACCTTCTAGGGAAACGGAGAGAGAAATTTTACTAACAGTGTGGCAAGTGTGCTTGGCAAGGTGGTGCGTGCGACAGTTCAGTACTTGCCTCTGTGGTCCCGAGTGCGAGGGAGGGCGCCTTTGTGCTGCGCTTTGGGGGGCTTGGCAGACTCTCGCGATGTGTCCCCTTTTATGGCAGTTATTGCAGGTGGCTCCTTTAAACTTGCAGGTGGCCCTCTGATGAGATCCCCCACAGGCTAGGCACAGGGTGATGTGCTTGGGTGGACCAATGTTTTCTTGTTTGGCTCCTACCTGCGGCCGTCTGTCGTTGGATAGGTGGTGGACTTCGTTTTCATCACTGATGGTTTCCTCTGCTACCACCTCCTCGGAGTGGACTGGGAGTGATGTCAGCTTGGCACTTGGGCCCTGGATTTCGGTGGCTGAGTTTGTTGCCAGCTCAGCTGCCAAGGCTTCCTCGACTGCTTGTGCGAGGTTGAGGTCTTTTTTTGCGAGAAGGCGCCTTTGCAGGTGGAGGTCCTTGACCCCGCAGACTAATTGATCGAGGAGCATGTCCTCCAGGTAGGTTCCAAACCCACAATGCAGTGCTGCTGTTCTGAGAGTGGCCATATATTGATTGATGGTCTCCTTGCTCGATTGCTTCCTCATACGGAAGGTGAACCTCCTGGCAATCTGTGAGGGCCTGGGGGAATAGTGGTTAGTGAGAATTTCAAGTAACTCAGACCACGGAACGTTTTTCAGCTCACGAGGAGCCACGAGCGCTGCGGCAGTATCGTAGACGGTGGCTCCACAGTAGATTAGGAAATACGATTTTTTCCGATGCTCTCCCGCATCCGCCAGGCCAACTGCATCGATATAATGATTGAAGCGGTTCTTATACGACTCCCACTTCTCCTCGTCTGGTTTGAACGCCGGGAAGACTGGATTGGAACTCATGGTGCTGGGACCGGTTGAACAACCTGAGGAAAAAATCTCTCTGGGGCAGCAGACAATGTTTTAGTGCCCATGGTGGGCAAGTGATTTCAGCTCAGGAGAGGCTGTTTACAATCCTCTCTTTCTCTCTGGGTTAACCACGTTTGGCCGTTAGCCGTTGATGGCGTTTGGATTCGCGCCTGAGTGGGCGTCAGTGACTGGCTACAGCGCTGTGCTGCACCTTTTAGGTTTGAAATTCAAATGACAACCGTTTGAATTTCGCGCCTGATACTGAGCGGCTGCGGCTCGCAGCGCTTCACTTTCCCTGTAGCTGGGCTAACAAGCGGCTACAGACGCTTCTAACTGTCGATTCTGACCGCTCTCTCTGGCTGCGGATCAGCGTTTGCTCCTTATCGCTTGCTGGCCGCTTTCTCTGTCAGCGGATCAGCGTTTGCTCTTTTTGTTTGCTCTTTTTGTTGGCTGACCGCTCTCTCTGGCTGCGGATCAGCGTTTCTCTTATCGCCGGCCGATCGCTCTCTCTGGGCTGCGGATCGGCGGCTAGTGACTCAGCGGTTGCATGGTGCTTCTGGTAGCCATCCCACCCTCGTCGCCAGTGTTAAGTTTGAGCAATGAGAGGCTGAACCAGAGCATGAGTGCAACAATACTTTATTATAACAATAAAGGGCTGACCGTGCTTGCCACGCCTGGAACTGGCTCGCAGCAATCAGCAACTGGTTGGACCCCGCAGCCTGCTTTTATAGCTGGCTGCTGGGGAGAACCAACCAATGAGGAAAGGGGGAAGAACGCCCACGCAAAGTGAGTGGACCTGAGTGAGAACTCCTAGAGTTCTCAGGACATAACACATCTAATTCTTCCCATCAACACATCAAAACTGATAAAAACATCTTAGAGCACTTGAACATTGATCTCAGAATTTTGAACGCTTAATACTGATTTAATGCAGTGGTGGAGAAACGTATGTTTGGGACGCAAATATGATCAGCTTATGTGAGCTTCCTCTTGAGATTATTTTGTGTATAACTTGGCTTGGCCCTGTCTCCACTTCCCCTTAACACTACTTAGTTATGCCTTGGCTGCTTCGGTCCCACAATGTCGCCTTCATCTCAATCCCAGCCTCTGAGTGAGATAGGCATAAGTCATAATTCATTTTACAATACAAAATAATATTTCCTTTTATTCCAACACCATCCAGGAACAACCTTAAAGGTATATAAAATATCCTCAATTTGCTGGTCACTATGTAAATCCTACACCAACCATTTCTCTCTTTGCTTTTGGTCCTCCCTCTCATCCCCAGCCCCCCTTTTTGGTGAGTTCCTTTCATACCCATTTACTTTAAGTCATTTCCAGCTTATCTGTTTTTAAACTAACTTCTGCCTAGCTTTCAAAGATGGTACAGGAGACCATCACTATTTCATTTCAGAAAAAAACATGGCATGCTTGTGTTTATTTGCCACTTTTCCCATAATGGTTACCTTCTCTTCTGTAAGTACCTACCTGACTCTGTTGTTACATCCTCTAACCCCTACTCCTTTAACCTTAAACTATCCACTATTGACCTCACCCCATTTCCAAGAGGTCTGTAAGAGGCATGAATAAGTGCACAATCGTGCTTACCGTCCCTGTCCTATGTCCCCATTTATTCGTACCCATTTCCTACTCATTTCCTACCCATTTCTTACTCATGTTTATACCTATACCTATTATCTTGTAAGCGACTGACAAATCAAATAAATCAAATAAATAAATAAAAAAGTACTAGAAGACAGCCAATTGCTTAGGAGCAAGGCTGCTTGCATTCTCACTTGAGGAATCTTGCAAGCTATACATTGCTATAGATCATTTTCAGTGTTGCCCAAAAACTATGTGAAAGGAGGATGAGGAAGAAGAGCCAGGAGAAAACTAGGGGACAAGGTCTTTAAGTAATACCCTATTCATTCTTGTTGCAATGCCTTCATTGGGGACCCTTTCCCTGGTGAAAGAGAAAGACAATGAAGCCAGAGGCCAAACCCATCACATATAACAACCCATATAACAACTTTTCATTCATGAACGAAGGCAGTACAATTCAGTAGGGACTCAGCATAGGCAGAAGGGATGGAAAAAAAGGGGTTGTTCCTTTTTTGCTAATTGGGGCCTCAGACCTTTGTCCCAAAGTCCTTCACTGATTTAACAGCTCTTTTCAAACCTCTTCTCTGTTCCTGCTCTTCTATTGTATGTCTTGTGTCTTTTTTTTGTGTGTATTATAAAATGGAGGGCAGGCTTTATGCATATAAATATTATTTTTGTTTCATACAGAGTGTTTAGTTGAAGTACAGACACTTGATTCCAAAGGATTAAGTCAGGATTAGCTTTTGCATAAATCCAGAGTTTGTTTTTTTTTAAAGAAAATGTTTTAGATAAAGTTCTATTTTCATGTCTGCTTAGGCTTGTTGTAAGTTCCTATTCAAGGGGGGATTGCTCTGATTTTATATTCTATTTCAGGCTGTCCAACTTTTCAAACTTTTCAGAGAATTAGAGCCGCGCAGGTCTGCCAAGAAGGAAGTACAGATTCAGCCTTTAAACTTGCTTCCCTTTTATTAATTGCTCCAGTCATTTGTGATCACTGAACCAGTTGTTATATTGGTGGAATCCCACCCCTGTAAGAAAGTGCTATTACTATTTCTATCATATCTTATATAAGATGTAAGCAGACACTTGCTGGATTAGACCCTGGCCCCTCTACTCCTGTTTGTTCTTACAGTGACCAACCACCTGCCCCACAAAAGACCACGTCTCCCAACTGATGCCTTCAGGGGGGATCAAAATCCATCAAAGCTAACAGCCATTGATCCCATGATTTTCATGAAGTTGTCCAACACTTTTTTTTTTGAAGCCATCCAGCACTACTTGAAACTCTCTTTTCAACTATTTTTCATAAATGGAAAAAGGAAAACATTTTGTAAGAAACAATTTACAAAAAATGTTGTCTTAACCTTTGCTCACTGAGCCTTTGACTCAGTACGCTGAACTCAACTCACTGGACACCTAAAGCCAAATTAAAGTACTGGTAGCTATATGTCAGCCTTCTGTCCTCCTCCTTCCACTTCTTCGATAACAAATTAGAAATAGTTTTTAAATTGTTTCTCCTTTTTCCTGAATGATATTAAAAAATAAATTGCACGTGTGCTTTTTCAACCAAACAGAATGTTTCCATTTTTACTAAAAACACATTCTTTACAGAATAGAAATCATATTGAAATGTTCCAGTGAATAATAATATACTAGCTTTTACAATGTCCATCTGTAGTATTGATCTAGTTTATATGAAACAACTATTTCTGTTAGGCATGTTAAATCAAATACATTCTATGGAATTAATTCATTTGAAATGATTGCAATTTACTGCATGTAGTGGTGTTACAGCTTGTTGCAATTAAGTAGATAATTTATGGACTTTTAGATTTAGAGTAAATATCTATTATAAATTTTTGGACATAAATTAAATTCCCACTTCCTACAACCACAGAACTATAATTTCGGATTGTAAATAAAGAAATGTGTTTATAAATATGCACCTTACTAGTCTTAACTGGTCTTTTATTGATTTATTTTTCCATCGTGATCTTTTCTATTGTCAAAATTTAATTATTGTTTGTTGCAGCAGTGATTGACTTGGATGGCTTTCTAACTCTGCCGAGTGTTATATGGTTGTGCCCGGGATGCAATTCAACCGGTGTAACAACCAGTTTGTTTTGTGTGCGCGCAGAGCGTTGGCTACTGACCTTTTCCAGCAATCTCTCTGTGTTAAACAGCCGATGCGCGGCAATCCACTGTGCCATGGAAATTACTTGAGCTTGAAAACCAGGATATAAAGTACACAATAGAGCCAGGGCAGATGGGTGGGCCCAACAGCTGATTGTCTGAGTGAACCGTTTGCTCAGAGCTGATCCTCAGAGCTACCAGTTCCCCTGAATTGGGAGAATCCCCTCCCTAGTTTTATCCTTGTTGGCATGCATTGCTGAGGACATGTTGTAGATGGGCATTTTGGTTGTAGCCCCCTCACTGTGGAATAGCTTGTCCTCCACTGATTGGATGATTCTTTTCTACTACCACTCAAGAAGGTTGTCAAGATGCTGCCCTTCCATAAAGTCTTCGTAGCAGAAGATACCACATCATTGGCAGTAGCTGTTTGTGCTGATCCCAGTGGATGTAGTACTCCTCATATATGTTCTTTTAGTATATAGTTTTATCATTTTTATGAAATATCATTCCATAGAATTTTCAGCAAGGCAGCATATTAGTGATTAGAATGAAATAAAATATGGTATATCATAGCATGTACAGTATATATCAATACTTTCTAGTGCTTATTGTTCCTGGTTTTGTCTTATGCATCCACCAGAGGGAGAAAAGATGTAAAACACATTTCAGGGCTGCTTTGAATTTATTTTTACTGTGATAAAGAATTAAGCAAAATTAAATGGTTTTTTGATCACTAGTGGAATACTGACAATGATATTGAAATTAGAACTAAAATGAAAGATCTAAGTTTTCAGAGACGGGTGCTTGAGGTTCTACAACTTGGAAGTTTCATGTCCTTATTTTATGTCCAGAGGTTTGGGTGAAGTGTTATCAATATGTTATGTCTCACCTGTGCCCAGGAGGTGAGAGTCCAAGTTTCCAAAGGAATAGAAATAAACAGACAAGACCAGTAACGTCAGGGTTAAATTCCTTTGACTGGAGAAGTCCTTGGCAGTCTCCCATAAGCTGCCTGCCAAGTCTGATAATAAAACAATAAATAAACTACTGACTACCTTCTATCGGAGTTCAATTGAGAGTATATTATCCTACTGTCTCTGTGTATGGTTCTCGAGCTGCACAGTGGCAGAGAAAAAGGCAATTCAGAGGGTGATTAAGATGGCCCAAAACATCATTGGCTGCTCACTCCCCTCTTTGGAAGAACGGTATAGGAATAGATGTAAGAGGAAGATATTTAATATATTGAATGACTCCTCTCATCCGGGACATCAGCTCTTTGAACTATTACCATCGAGAAGGAGATTCAGGGTATTAAGAACAAGGACGACTAGATTTAAGAACAGTTTTTATCCAAGTGCAGTTTTGAGTTTGAATGCAGGGTCATAAGATTTTTGTGGAATTTAATGGCTCGGAGTAATGGGGTATTTACATTTTTAAATTGTATAGAGATTATTGTATGGTCTGTTGTGTTTAATTTTATTTTTCTTTCAATGGTGTTGTCCAGTTTTACTTGTGGAAGAGCACCTCATTTCGTTGCACCCACATGCGAGTGTAATGACAAATAAATTCTTATGAATCTTATGAATCTTATGAAAACAAGAATATAAATCACAGGCAAATGCCACACAGAGAATTTGTCGAAGCTTCTATCCCAAATTAACAAATTGTCCCAGACGAGAATCCAGAGCTAACACGCCCACTTTTACTCCCTGAGGGGCGTGTCAGTCTTTCATCTCAGTCCCTGATTCGTCCTTTCCTTCTACGTTGGATCTCACGCCTATGCCTGCGTCTTTGCCTCGCATCAAACCAACATTCCTCAGTTTGATCCTCAGCCACAGGCTCCGCTACGCTCTCCTGATTATCTGCCGACACCTGAGGCACAACCAGGGAGGAAGGTCCTGGGGAGGAAGGCAATTCCAAATCCTCCAGCAAAGCAGGCTCAAACCTCAGAGCCAGATCCTCCTCTTCCTCATTGCTCAAGTCTGTGTCTTCTAACAGAGCAGGTTCAAACCTCCGAGTCACAACATCAATATATGGTTGGTACTCACTTCTATTCCCCCCTCCCCAAGCATCTGAATAAGTCAGGCTGCACTCCATTTTTGGGCCTCCTGGGCCTGAGGAAAGCCTTCTGGGTGGGCATTTTTGCTCCCAGGAAACTTCCCTGGGGCCCAGGAAGGAAAAAAATGGAGCATGGGGGGGGGGGCAGCAGCACCACCCCCGTGCCCCTTTTTGCCTCCTGGGCCTCAGGGAAGCTTCCTGGGCAAAGCAGTAAGACAGCAGGGGGATCTCGGCACAGCTGATCATCGGAATAGCTGAATGTCAGGAGGGGAAAAAAAGAAATACCTTACTGACTGACTGTGCAGGGAGGGGAGAGGGTGTGGAGAGGGGCAAGGGCAGCCAGGGGCACAATTTGCCAGTTCTCCGAACTGCGCAGAATCATTATGTCGGGCTCCGAGTGCAGTGTTACTTGCCTCGGAGCCCGCCAGCTCGCCGATGGTCGCAGCAGCTTGGTGTCGCTTGTCCTGGATCTTGCCAGCTATTGGTGGATGGAGAGGCGTCCCCAGCAGCTCCCGGATGGTCTTTCGCCCTGGCTGAGGTTGGTGTCGTGTTATGTGTGACGTAGCAAATGTGATGGGATTCCGATCCCGGTTTCTCTCCTGTGCCGAGGCGATAACAGCCGAACAGCTGAGAAGACAGCTGATAGCGTGGGCTAGATCGGATCATCGTAGGGAGCCAAGGGGCATGTGGGAGCGATTGGAGCAGAGTACATATGGGTGGTAGGTGGGTGGTGCATGAGGTGGGGATCTATTACACTGAGGTGGTGTGAGATAGGGGATTCTGTAGTAATGGCAATATTAGGGATCTGAATGTATAAGGGACTAGGTGGGACCAAGAATGTAAAGCCGTGTAGGTGGGGCTGTGGCTATTGATCCATAAAAGGAAATGAGTTACTAAAGCTCTCAGTAATCTTACTTCCAGTAACCTCTCACCTTACTTGGCTTTGAGCCGTTCTTGCTGGGGGAGAGAGTTTTTGCTGTTTGCTTATTCCTGGAATAAACCATCATTGCTCTACCGAAAAACCTGGTGTCTTTATTCAATGTGAAAAGACGAATATTCAAGACTCAAGGACCAGCTGAGACATAACAACTGGTTCTATAGAACCGGTCTGAACCAGTAGAATCCCACCCCCGGACCATCTTTTCCCAATTGCATCTACTCATCCCATCAGCTCTAATAGGAAAGGCAGGTTGCAGGTCCCATCCACAAAGGAATGTCACCTGATAGGACCCAAGAGAGGAGCCTTTTCAGCTGAGGCACCTGCCCTTTGGAGCATCCTCACCACAGAAGTCAGCCTTAACCCAACCTTGCTGGTTTTTCAGAAGCATTTGAAAACATGGCTTTGCCATCTGGCCTGGGGATTTGGCCAGAAGGGGTTAAACCTGCAATGTGGTTACAATGAATTGACTGCATTTTCTCACCAATTGGATTTTCATAGTTTTTACTGTGTTAATGTTTTGCATTATTTTGCTTTTGAGGTTTTTTTTGTTTCTTTGTATTGTTTTTATTTGTTTGTAATCTGCCCAAAATCACATATGTGAAATGAGTAGTTCTATAAAACAAAGAAAAGAGAACAAAGAAATGAAACAGGTATCCTCTTTAGCTCTGCAAATCCTTCAAAGGAAGTGCTTCAAAGCATGGAAGAAGCACTTTCTTTGACTCACTGAAAGAGCTACCTCTCCCCCCCCCTCATAAAGTTGCTAGCTAACTGTTCCTGGCTGCTGCTATATGCACAGCTGTTTTGCTGGATGGTCTCTTAGTAACTAAGCTGAGTTCAAGTTTTGTTTTGACATATAAAATGTAAACAGTTTGGACTAAGATGCTTGACAGACCATCTTCACTTTTGCAGACAAAGATGAGCACATTGCGCTGAGCATGCAACAAACTGGTTTATGGAGATCTTTTGACTTTTCTTACAACAATCAATATAATCTATGGTAATCTCTATTCACTTTTCTTCATCAAGTATAAGCTCAAACAAATATGTAAACTAACATTTAAAAAAACAGACATTCAATATGTGTTAATGATTGGAATATTAAATGTCTTTGAAGTGTTTGGTGCCTTGGAAGCAGAACTATTCAGCAATTTATGTCTAATTTAAATATTTGCACTCAAACTTTTAGAATGAAATCCTCCTAGGAGAGCTCCAATATAATCTATGAATATGAAAGTACATTCTAAAACCATATAGCCTAAACAATCAGTCTAGTTAATAAATAGTTACAACTAAAATTGTGCCATATATATAAGTTCTGTTTAGGAAAAAAAAAGATTTCAGTAAAGTAAGTGCTCAATATCTTTTCATGTTAATTTTTAATTTAGTATTAAGATGAAGTTATAGTGATATAGAGCAGGGGTCTCCAACCTTGGCAACTTTAAGCCTGGTGGATTTCACCTCCCAGAATTCCCCAGCCAGCT